CTGAAAAAATGAAGTGATCTCCTGACCACATCTTAAAACACTTGTTGATCAAAGAACCAAAATGATCTCAATTATCTCAAAGCAGTCTTGGCTATAAAAATGCCATTCCCAGACATGGGTTAGGGTCACATACAACCCTTAAGAGAGATTCTCATGCATTATTCACTCACATTCTGAATAGAAGAAACTTGTCATTTTCCAGGAATATAAACTCTGAATAGTGAAGATGGCGAGGCTGACTTGAGATCACTGGGAAAGTCAGAAGACGCAGGAGTAGATTCCTTGAGCTACCATCTTCTGGGTGGCCTTGAATTGTTTACAATTCTAAGTCTTCTTCTACCTTTATTAAAAGAAGATTCATGGGTCTAGGAGATGGCAGCTCTGTATCAATATGTTAAGATTTTCCATTTTCTAACTTTGGAATGAATCACACTTTCTCACCACCTCCTATTCTCTGGTGTAAAAGCAAAACAAATCACTGATCAAATGTTCAGATTTTTATAGAAGATTCTCATATTACTTAATAGCTGTGTACCCCAGCAGAGGATCCATGGCCACATCTTTTGGTCTTGTCTCTTTTTCTAATGCTACTTCTCAATGTGGAGTATTCTTTCCCTAAATTCTAATGTCAACCATTGTAATTCTACCAATTTGTCTTGTTCTGGCAATGTCTCTCCTCCTTCGAGAAGATTCCCTGATCATTTCCAAGGTACTTTCTTCTTTATTGGAACAAACCTGTCTCATATTTTTTTCATTTTTAGGGAATTTACATTTTAAAAAGTATTTAGATATATGTAAGACATGTAACACATATTTTTTTATTGTTTACATCTCCCAGACAAATATTTCTTTAATGGAATAAGAGTTTAATTTCACCACAGGGGCTCTTTGTTCTTGAAAACTCTGGGGTAAATACTTATTGCAATATTCAAATTATTTCTCAATCGTTTTTAGCTTGCTTGTTTTTGGCTTTTTATTGTGATTTCAGAGTTTAAATTATTATATATTTGAGGGTGACATACCCATAATGTGACATTAATAGGTTTTATACAGGTGCACTATGGGTATGTGTCCCCTTTAATAAAGTTAAATGCACTAAGCACATGCATTTCTAAAGCTCACTGAATGTGTGTCATGCTTATGGGTGGCCACACTCCAGAGAACTGAATATGTGCTACAGAAGGAGAGGAGAACTGGGGGTGGGGAGAAAACCCGTGCAAGGCAAGAGAGCTGAGCGTTCCCATGCCCTGTACTAGAGGAAGGAGAGAAGGGGAGCACTGCTTTGGAAATACTAAGCAAAGAGAAAGGGAATGAAAGGGAGAGGGGTGGGGCTGACCACACGACATTAACCAGAACTAACAGATGGAAAGGATGCACATTTCCCTAGATGATTGCTGACTTCCAGGACTCTTTGGCCTCTCTACCCAGCTCCACCCTTGAGCCATGCTCAGATCAAGTATCATTTGCACTCTGGACTCCCAAGAAGGCAGCTTCTCACCTAACTTACCTCTCTCACCTGCATGGGAGCTATAGCTTGGGTTGTGGGGGAAGTAGTGTGGCATGGGGGAGTCCAACAGACATGGCAGAAATTTGACTCTGCCACTTAGGATTTATCAAATTACCTACTCCTTTGGCATGATCTGGAGCAAATAATACCCATAATTAGGACTGTTATGAGGAATGTACATTAGTTGGTACTCACTAAGTAGCAGCTATTGCAAAACAGTGTAGCATGATGGCTAAAAGCATGGAGTCTAGGTCTAGACAGAGCTTCCAATATGCTCCATTACCTACTTTCTGGATGACTGATTTTCTCTGTCTCACTTTTCTAACCTATCAAATAGGTTTAATACAGTAATAGTACAGTTTCTATCTCACAAAGTTGCTGAAGTGATGTGATGGCTGTAATTCAGAGCATAAAAAGCACTCAGTAGATGAAAATAGCAGCAGCAAAGGTAGTAATTATTGTTGTGGTTATTATTATCATCATGAAAGTTGCCATGAGAGGCATTAGTTAAGATTAGTGCTCTGGTGCTGAACTACCTGGGTTCAGATCCTGGATTCACTCTTTACCAAGTGTGTAATCCCAGAGTCTCCATTTTCTCCTCTGTAACTTGGAAATAATAATGGTATCTACTTTCTATGATTAAATGAACTAATATACGCAAATTACTTAGACAAATGCTGGTACATAGTAAATCATACATGTAGTCATTATATAAATTCCAGCCAGCCGTAGCACTAGTTGCTAGGCATTTCTGTGGGTTATTTTAAAGCATGATGTTTTATAAAGTTAAATAAACTTTAAGTGTTCTGTGGTGATTAATCTGGACTACCAGTTCCCTTGAAAATAAGCCAAGCTTTCAACCATAAAAGGTTTTCAACTGAGTCCCAGATGACCATAACTTCAGTGTTGATGTGTATAGCAGATGGTGAACTGTATTTTTTAAGTTACTCCCTCCACAGAGAACACTGTAAAGTTCACATCGGAATTAAATGCCTCAGTACAAGAGGATGCCGCTAACTCAGTTCTGTCACTCCACACCTCTAGGAAAGAGACTTCATACTCAAGCACATTGGAGAATATCCCTGTGTGCTACAGGCATTGCAGGTTTCACTGCCACACCAAAAGCCAGCCACTTTCAATAGCGATTTTACTCTTCTTTCTGACTATATTGCAACAGCACATTCGTTCAGATATCAGAAAGGTTTGCAGTCCAGGAAATTTTTTTTGCCTTGTCTTCAGCCAATAATCTTGTAGTACAGTGATGTCACCCCACAGTTATGCAATATGACTTAACTGTTGGAAAGGTGACAGGAATTCCACTGACACCAAGATCCCAATGAAACTGTTTAGCTGCTGAATTAGTCATATTGTACATTTCAGATAAGACATATTAAACTGTGATTAACTGCCAGTTCAAATAGTACTATTGTCTGGGAAGGAAGTCAGGACCCATCACTCAGTTTAAATGGTCACATCCAGTTATTCTAGCATCTAAATAATACAAACAAGTGGTTATCGAACTTCACAGAATCACAGGCCACTTACAAAAGGACACAATGTAAAAGGAGACATTTTCTATCCTCTATTCAAGAGGAAATTCATACAAAATTTGTACAAAATTTCCTTGAATGCCCCTAAAATTAGTCATTTTAGTCTCTGGATGATTTTCCCAATCCAAGTAAGATGAGAGTAAAATCCTGTTTCTCAATGACAATAGGGATTTTTCAGGATTTTTTTACATAATACTGTGAAAGGGGACTTTTTACAGACCATAGGTCATGGTGAGTTAGATGTCATTTATTCAACAATAACAGTTGTTAAAAATAATACATATTTCCGCCGCCTGCCTTGCAAGCTCAAGGACCTGACTGAGTTCGATCTCCGGTATCAAAAAAAAAATAATAATAATACATATGAAGGGCCAGGGATTTATCTCAGTGGTTTCACCACCTGCTGCACAAGCGCAAGGACCCGAGTTCAATCCCCAGTACCAAAAAAAAAAAAAAGTAGGAAAAATAATACATATGTTAGAAAAAACTAACACTGAAAAGTGCGAAAAAGAGAGCTCCACAATTCCACTCTCCCCAAAACAACCATAACTAAAACTTTGTTGTAATTTATTCTAGTCTGAATACTCATGAATACAACAAAAACTCTTTGCCTGGCTGGGTGTTGGGTGCTAGGCATTGAAAGATAAAAATAAGACTCCATCGCTACCTCTGAAGGAAGGCATAGCTTAATGTAATGGGGTATCTGAACACAAAAGAGGTATTTAGCAGAGGCTGAGGAGAATGGAATGTGGGTTAGAGAAGGTGGAAGGGATTACCAGGGAAGATTAGAGAAATCCTAGAGCAGGGCTCTTCAAAGTGTGGTCCACTAGGTGACAGCAGATTTTACAAATAACCAACAGAAATAGAAAGTGAGTATTTAAAACTTCCAGAGCAATTTGACAAAGTAAATGTTTTTCTGTTGAATCTAACTTTTTTTTTTTTGTACCAGGAATTGAACTCAGGATCTTGTACTTGCCGGGTAGGTGTGGCACCACTGAGCTGTGTCCCCAGCCCTGAATCTAACAATTTTTAAAATCAGGTTTGTATCTTGTATGTCTTCTTATATTTTATTTTTAATATATTTTTATTGCATTTCCAAAAGTATCAGTCCACAATGGATTAAAAAGTATCTCCATTAATACAGTTTGAAAACCACTTAGAGGCTCAGTGACTTACTTAAGTGTAGGCTGATCAACTATTGCTGTTTGTGCTAAAATTAACAAAGTTCCAGGCAAATTAAATGAATTGGTCCCCTTACAAGTACTTAATTCCTAGAAAAAGTTAGCCTCTTGAAAGAATAGATTAGGTAAAGGGGAAGCAATCATCAAAGAAATAATAGAAGAAAGTTTTTCTGAAGAGAGATGTTAGTCTTCAGATAACAAAGTAAGATGATGCAAAAGAGAGCTACAACTAGCTACACGCTAATATACTTTCTAAATTCTGAGAATCAAGAGAAAAATCCTATAAGATTATACACACAGCAAATTGAAAAAATATATTAAGGTGGTAAAGCACAATATTTCATATTATATTCCTTCAACAAAAAATGTTTGCTTTTATTTTCTAAGGTAAAAGAAATAAGGAAAAATTGTCCCTTATATGCAAATATAACAATGGGGGTAATGGAAATAGAAAACAATATCAGAGAAGTAGAATATGCAAACATTCTAATTTTAAGAATTAACTTAATTTCTTTGATTTCCTGTCAAATTTGGCACTAAGCTTCCTGACTGGGGATAAGAATGTTAGGAATCACAATCAATAAATTCTCTGTTATTATGATGAAGGAAGAAGTATTTAAGTTCCTCAGTAATACATTTTTTCCTACATGAAATCTGTAACAACTTCTCTCAAAGAGTTTAATATCATAGATGTCGAATGGTGTGGCAGACACTGCCCTCCTTAGCATTCATACAGTTAATGTAGAAATAAATTCCTCATACCTGCTTCTTAGAGGAAGCCTCAACTCAGTGAAAATTTCAAGATCTACAAATATAACCTGAAGATCTTATTTGATTCAAGAATACCCTAGAAAAGCAGATAAACAGTATATCACTTAACATCCTCTGAGTATTCCTCTCAGTAGGTTTGTGTAATAACAGGTAATATGAGGTCTGAAAAGAAGTTATTCTGTGTTCTTTATTGCTAACTCAAAGTATATAAAACTTCCAGACTTTATGTACCCAGCCCTTTCAGTACTGATAATAGTGCTGGGCATCAAATAATTTGTACAATATTAGGTTACTATTGCTTCACATAGTGAATATTATTTTAGTAGTTATAAGTAGTATTTAACATTCTTATTAGTTTTACTTCTCTTCTAACATCTCAATAAATTTAATAAATATTGTAATCCTTTCATTAATGAGACTGGATTGTTTATCAAAATATTGTTATAATCCCCAATCCTAATAATTTTGAGGTAGAAAAATGTATTTCATATGTAATCTTAAATAAACAAGCATTATTTTCCAAATCAGGTATGAACATTATAACTTTCTATAAAAATATAGTTATATACATAAATAATATAATGTTTATTAATACATAAGGACAGACAAAGCATTACAAAAACATAATAAAAATGTTAACCCTGGATATCTCTGGGTGGCAGGATTTGGGTGACTTATTTTCTTCTTTTTGTTTGTCTATAAATTTGAATGTTCTGTAATTAAACTTGTATTATCTTTGTAAGAAGGAAAATAATATTACTACTTTACACATAGGTATGGAGGAATGGGAATGAATAATGTCTCTGCATCATCCCCGAAGCAAATGAGCTGGGTGGTCATCCTGCACTACTACCTACTTCTCCCCACATAGTTAACCTTTACCAACTTCCATGATAATTTTCAGGATAGGATAGTTTAAGAAAGCACAATATAGGTTGGACAAATTCCAACTGTGCTATATTAGCAGCCATGTGACTTTGGGCCAATTTTTAAACTTCTGACTTTCTGGTTCCCATTTTCAAAATAGAGGGTGGATTGCCGTCAATGTAAAATGCAATCCTGTTACAAAGTAAAGTGACTGAAATAAAATAGGTATTTAAAAATAATATGCTTGCTCCATACCTAAGAGTTTGTCCTGGTTCCATAAGTGTTTGTTCTATTTCTTACAGTAGCTTCTTGCAAACCTAGTCTCAGTGTGGATCAAAGTGTTAGAAATATAAGAAGGCTCAGTCTCTCTTTCCCACATTACTACTTAGGAGCAGGGAAAGGGACAAAAAAGAACACTTACCATGGATCTAGTGAATATCAGGCACTATGTAACATGTTTCACTTGTATCACTTTGCTTCAGGAAAGTTCCAGATCTTCCCAAACACTCCAAACACCTAGGAAATGTTTCAAGTTTCTACTTTGTTATTAATACATTTGTTTCTTAAGGACTATCTTATCACCAGGCACCCTACAAACACATTTCCCAGGAAATGTTCCCAGATGTCATGCGATCTTTCCATTTTAGACAAGCTGCATTGATCAGGTATCACCCAACTGAACTGCTTTTTTCTCCCTTTATTCTCAATATAATGTTGTCTCTATGATCAATCCACCAAGTCCTGGTTTTTCTTCACTGAATTCCATTCTTGGCCCTATACCTAGACCACACTTTCACATGTATTAGTTGCTAACATACCTTTTAGTGTTGCCTTATGATTCTCACTAGGTCTCTGAGTGACCTTGAAACTCCACGGTCATTTCTTCAATGTTCTCCAATCTTTTTGTTCTACAGAGTGTGGTTTTGGGTTTTCATCACTGCATTTATTTTTTCAGCTTTTAGCCAGCTGGGAACCAGTGCTCTGCCCTCTGCCCCATGTTCACCTTGCAAGCTACCAATCTAGGTCATAATTTTTATTCATATGTCTCTCACCACTTGAGGGAGTAACTCCAATAACATGGATGATTGACATGACGAAAAAATTAACAAGGGTTCTGGGATGCTATAGAGCAAAAAGGAACCTAGACACCCTCTAGCCCAATTCTATCATTTTACAGATGACAAAGCTGGACCTAAGAGACTGTCTTATTTACTTCCCTAGTCTCTGGGACAAAATACCTGACATCCACAACTTTAAAGATAAGATGGCTCATGTTTCAGTCCATAGGGCTGGCTCCAAAGCAGGAAGGCATGGCAGAGGGGCGTGGGGAGGAAACCTGCTCAGGGCATGGTGAACAGGAAACAAAGAGTGAGGGAAGGAGGCAGGGTGGGAGATAAACTTCCAGGCTACTGTCTCAGTGACCTGCTTCTTCTGACAGAAGCCCACCTCCTAACAGCAAGTCAGATCTAAGCCTCCATTATCAAGTCATTTTCCAAAAGCCCCACCTCTGAGAGTTCGGAGGGACATCCAGATATAAACCATAACACAGTCTTAAATCACAGCTCATTCAAATAATTTAGTACCAGAGCTACCAGAAGGAGCATATCCAAGTGGCTAAAATCTTTAATCTTGGAATCAGATAGGTCTGGGTTCAAATCTCAAAATGTAAACTGTCTAATCCATAGTATCCTTATATATTAAAATGAGGATGATAATACCTATATTATTAAGCTGGATATAATGTTGTTAGTTTTTAACTGGAATCCAGCTCTATGAACTTTTATTCAAATGCTATTTGTAAGATAATGCTATTATGGTTCTAATCTTCCAAGTTCTGACCTTCTAAGATTCCATATTTAATCCTTACTAACAGGATGTGACTTTGGACAACTTATTTATGCTTGGTGCGTTTTGTTTGACTAACCTGTAATGTAAAATTAATAATAATACTTATTACGTAGGTACAATCATCTGTCACCTAATCATCACAAATGGACCACATATATGAGGTGGTCCCATAAAATTATAATGGAGCTGAAAATCTTCTATCACCCATTGGTGTCATAGCCATCATGATGTTGAACCACAACATACTACTCGTGTTTTTGTGACAATGCTGGTAAAAACAAATCTAGTGACTCCCAGTCACTGGAAGTACATACAAATATAGCACATACAAGTATAGCACATACAATTATGTATGGTATATAATAACTTGACAATATATAACTATGTTACTAGCTTATGTATTTACTATATACCTTTATCATTGTTTTAGAGTTTACTCTTCCTACTTACATTATTTTTTTTAAGTTTGTTACAAAACAAAACAATATGCCATGTCAGGAAAGCAACATCCTCATACATCTCATTTACTGTGTTGCTAGATTATCTCAAAAGACTAGATCCAGGATTGTGCGAGACCACTCTATGATGTTCATACAACAAAGGAATTGCCTAACAACACGTTTCCCACCACCATGTATGACTGTAGTTGTACAAGTTAAATAGATAATCCCTATTAATATAGTATTTCACAGTGTCAAGCATGTAGAAATCAGTTAATCACTGAGTAATTTTATATTAAACAGATGCCTAGAGCGCTGCACTAATGATCAAGATACTCTTCTTCCAGTTACTCTCAGAAACAGACCCAGGGTTATACAGTTGCTTCTGTTCCGCCCACAGCTCCTGTATTCATTCATTCAAGCTGGGCCTTAAACAATAGGTAGCACTAGAGCACATAGATATGGAAGAAAAGATGTTTTCAACCAATGCAAATATTATTAGCAAAGGAGAAAAAGGGGGAAAGTGTATAGGGTGGGGGTCCTTAAGACTAAATAATTAATTCTGGTTGGCTTCAAAAGCTTGGAATTGGCCTCTCTAACTGTAGTCTCATTCGCTCTTTGTTGCTGCCAGAAATAAAATATTAATTTGAACATGTTACATTCCTTCCAATTTTACTGCCCCCACTGAATTCAGAATAAAGTTCCAAATCCTTAGCATAATCTTCCAGGCCTGTCACCATCTCTTCCTGCCTGGTCAAACTCATTTCCTCTACTGTGCTGTCAGCCTCCCCTGAAACACTTGCACTTGCCTGAATCATCTGACTTTCTTTCAGCCCTTTGCATGGGCTTTGTCTTTGGCCAAAACATTATTATGGTTTAGATCAAAAATGTTCCACAGGAGACTCCTTTGTTTGGAATATGATTGGATCAAAGAGATTCATTAGGGAATTCACTGAGTTCAGGGGCTGAATGTGCTGTTAGGAGGTAGGGTGTGGTTGGAGGTGGGTCACTGGTAGTATGACACAGAAGGGTGAATTCTTATCCCTGGCTTCTCCCTTCTCTATATGCTTCCTGGCTGCCATAAATATCAGATATTCCTCTGCAAGATCCTTCCATCATCCTATTTCTGACTTGGTTCCAGCTGGCTTTGGACTGAACCCACTGGAGACCATGAAACATATAAACTTTTCCTCCTTTAAGTTGCAAGTGTTGGGTATTTGTCCCAGTGATGGGAAAGGTAACTACTACACATGACCTATGTAGCCTTCCAGATTTACTTCAGAAGTTGTCTGTAGGAAGTCTTTATTAACATCTTCACCAACCCCACCACTTACCCTTGACAAGAGCAGAGGTCCTCATTGAAGGACCCATAGGTCCTATGTTTGCTGCAAGCACAACTGGTAATGCTCAGGATTCCCTGTGTCCCTGACCAGAGATAGGCCTTTAAAGAGCCTACTTTGTGTACCGGGCACTATTGTAAGACCTGTGAAACAAAGAACAAGACAAAAGTCCTTGTTGTCTTCAGGCTTGCAGTCCAGTGGGGTAAGTCAAATAATTGACAAATGGGTAAATAAATATTTCAGATAATGTTAAATGTTGAAAAGATAAGAAAATGGTGTGACATGCTAGAGTGATAAAGAACAACATAAGATAAAGTGATTTGTGTTTAGGAATATCCAGGGCAAGAATGCTGAGGGAAGAAGAAGAGTGAATAAATATTGGTTGAAAGAAGGAAGGGACAGGTTGGGATCTAGTTCAAGGACATAAAGTTCTTCCTTATAGAAACTAGGAGTACAACAACTTCAGTCTGGTAACCTAAGACAAAGAAAAGTACCAAAATTATCAAGTCTGTTTCTGACTTGGGGTCTTGGGAGGAGTGGTCAGAGGCTAGGATGAACTGATGACCTTAAGGGTGAAACCAAACATTATTTAAGGACTGTTTTGGAAACACTGCATTAGACTTTGGAGTTGTCCTCAAATTTCTGTTCTGGAAATATTATACTGTGCTCCCACCTCCCATCCTACCACCACTTGGCCACTCACAATGTACATTAGCTCTTTACACAATGTAAAGGCTCTGAATATCTTAGCATTGGGAAAACCTGGTTAACTTTTGTTTTCCAAATTAATTTGACTCCCATGTACATTTTATTTTGTTTTGTTTTTTGTTTCATTTTGTTTTGTTTGAATCCAGCACTGCTTTAATCTTGTGAATCAGTATTTTATGCAATACATTTTGGGAAGTTCTGACATACATCACTCTCTACAACTCACTAGCCTTGCTGTCATAATTTCTAACTTTCACTTCTATTTTGTTCAGCAGAAACAGTAAAGAAATAAGGTAATATGGTATTTGAAAAGATATAATAGTTTGCACATGCAAATGTAAAAGTTACAAGAGTCTTGATAAATCGAATTTCACAACACTTATTCACCTTCAAATAATTTCTGCAGAACTAAAAATGGTTGCTATATGTAAAGGTAAACATGAGTAAATACGTACTCATAATACAAGTTCTGTGAAAAAAATAAATATAATTCTTAAGGACTAAAATCCAAGCCATATGCATTTTATGCACTGCAGATTAGTCATATTTTTAAAATTAAAATTAGTAATTCTTGCTTAGCAAAGCACAAAAAAAGGTTTACTCATCATAAACCCATCTGGGTTATTTTGGTTACAACTATTTTAAATGGCAGAACTATTAGAGACTTAAAATTAATTGTATATATTATATACATTGATCTCCCTAAAATGTGAAACTGGGATTGGGCAAAGGAGTGTGATAAGGGTGAGGTAAAAATGATCAAGTATGTTATTGAAGAAACTGCTGAAATGAAACCTATTATTCTATATAACTAATATGCACTAATAAAAAAGATGTGAGGGTCGGGGATTTACCTCAGTGGTTCCGCCACCTGCCTTGCAAGTGCAAGGTCCTCAGCTCAATCCCTGGTACCAAAAAAAAAAAAAAAAGGATGTGAAAAAAAATATGTACATGTACCAATGCTACACAAGGAATGTAAACATTATGTATTGAAAACATCTACCAAAAAAGAAAAAAAGGAAGAGGTTCGAGAGATGGGTGGAGGGGGGGAGAGAGAGAAGAGAACGAGAATGAAGAAAAGGAATTAAGATGTGTTATGTACCTATACTAACTTTCCATAAGGAATGTAAACATCATGTACTACACACACATACTAATAAACTAAAATTTTATTTTATTTTATTTTATTTATGTATTTATTTGGTACCAGGGATTGAACTTGGGTCCTTGAGCTTTCAAGGCAGGTGGCAGAACCACTGAGCTAAATCCCCAGCCCTAAACTAAAATTTTAAAAGTCAAACACATTAGACTCCACTGTGATATAGAAACTTAAGAGAGGAACAAATTCACACCAAAGGCTAATTAAAACCACTGACACATTCCTACTAGCTAAAAAAAAGACAAATAGCAAGTTCTTCCAATATTAGGCTACTATTATAATACATTTGAAGTCCACTTTGGAAATTGACTTTATGTGCCCTTTATTAGAATAAATCTAATCATATGAAATAGCTGTTCTAACTATACAAAACTGTTACATTTCAACTATAAGGTTCACAGATATATCAATAAAATATGTAGAACTCAACTCCTAGATAAAGTTTTTGCTTGTTTGTTTTTGAGACAGGGTCTTGCTATGCAGTCCAGGCTGGCCTTGAACTCATTATGCAGTCCAGGTTGGCCTCAAACTCACAGTGATCCTCCTGCCTCAACCTCCTTAGTGCTGGGATTACGGGTATGTGCCACTATGCTCGGCCTGATAAAGTTTTGATTATAGCTATCTTTGATACATCTTCATAAGTTTCCATTTTTCGAATGCCTTTAAAATTATGTCATCTTAAATAGTTACCTTAAAATAAGCCACTGAGAAAATGAATGCTATTAGTGTGGTAACAATAAATGTTAATTGCATTAACATCCTCAAAACAGGTTTCCTCTCAAAAATAAAGATTAATCTTCAAAATATAGAAACATAGCTCAGTTATTCTGATTCATGTACATCTAATAAAACAAGATCAACACCACTTTTAACAGGACTTAACCTAAGCCACCCAAAAATACTAATTAGCAGAGCTTCCAGTCAGAATTTACTTTTTAAAATCTACCTTGTATTTTGTTTATTAACAGTTAATTCAGAATTATAACTAAGAATTTTATCTTATTTAACAAATACTAGCCCATTTCAGCATCTTGATACTTATTCTTTATAGAATAAATTACCTTAGCACTCATTCCAGCAATAGCTTCTTTTCAGAGACTCACCTGAAAGCAAAAATAAATACAAAAATTTTACAAAAATAAATATTTTACAAAAATAAATACAAAAATGCAGAAAATAAAATGTTCTCTCAATTAGTTAAATGTCACAGCCACATAATGAAATACCATGAACTCACTAGAGCTCACATTATATGGGGGAGAGAATAGTCTTTTAAATAATTGATAATGGATCATTTAGATATATAAATTTAAAAAGAACCTTGACTGTCTATTTCAATCTGTACATAAAAGATGATTTTAGACATATGGTAGGCTGAAATGTAAAAGGGAAGACAAATGACTTTTGGCAGGAAACAAGAGAATATCTTCATGACCTTAAAACAGGCAAAAATTCCTCAAATACATTGGACTACATTAAAGTTAAGAACTGCTATTCCATGAGAAGTCATCACTGACAGTGAGAAGGCAAGCCAGGGAGTGAAAGAGGATATTTTTGCTATGTATTTGGCAAAGGTTTCATCCAGAGTATATTTAAAATCTCCTCTAATTCAATATGAAAAACAGACAGCACAATAGAAAAATAGACAAAGAATAAACAGACAGTTCACCAAACAGGATTTCCAAATAACTGGTAAACATATGAAATGAAAATTATAACCACAGTGCGATATCACTAACCATTTGTCAAAGTGACAAAAAATTCCTGGATTTCTTTAAATGATCATCATTGTAATAAAAGTAAATAAATATATGATCCTGCAGAATTTATACAAAAAGAACAAATGTATGTGCCTTCTCTATCTAAACAAAAGAATTTAGAGCAATTACCTTCAAAGACTTATACTTTTTTAGACTGAAAATATCAAGCGTTGCCAAGAATGTGAAATAAATGAAACTCCTATACATTATCAGAAAGGGTGTAAAAATGGTATAGACATTTTAGGAAATTGTTATTATAAAGGTAAATATGCCTACCATATAACCCAGCATACCTATTCCTAAAACAGAAAAAAAGTATGTATGTCTAGTAGAAGTCATGTAAAAATATTTTCACAGATGCATTCTTTATAGTAATGACTCAGAGTGGGTAAACAATACAAATGCCCATCAAAAATAAAATGGTTAAATACATTGTGGTGCATTAATAGAACAGAATACTATACAACAGTGAAAAGGAGACACTTTAGCCATGCACAAGAATTGAATCACTCTCATGATCATGATGACAGAATACTAGACAGAAAGAAAGAAAGAAAGAAAGAAAGAAAGAAAGAAAGAAAGAAAGAAAGAGAAAAAAAATATTGTATGATCACATTTATAAGAAGTTCAAAACCAGTGTTTGGGGAAGGATGGAATCTATGCTTTAGAAGTCAAGATAGTGATAACACTTTGGATGAACCATAATGCCTCAAGGGGTATATGAAGGAGGCTTTGGGGGTACTGTTATATTCCTTTCCTAGGGTGCTACTACATTCTATTATATTGGTGTGTTCCCTTTGTGCCATTCATCAAGCTGCATATTTACAGTTTGTGCATTTTCTGAATGTTTTACTGAAACAATAGTCATAGCTTTAAAACCCTGTTGTATACATAGGAATGTATCCGTAATACAATGTTAAAGGAGAAGAATGCTGTGTAGAATTAAGATCATAAACTCCTCATATATCAGTAGTTCATGTACTAAGTGGGTATTTTAAATACTTCATCAGTGAAATGCATTCTAATGAAATACACAGGACAATCTAGCTTTCTTTTAATACCAGAAATAAACAAAAGAGTAAATGTTTCTTCATTTTCTCCTTTCTGCTCCTCTTTTCTTGTCTATTTTACTTCTCTGGCCCTTTCTTCTTCCTCCACCTAGGACTGATTTGTAGTGCCCTCATGGGTCCTCTTTTCTCTCTTACCCTGTTTGGTGTTGGTCCTGAGGATGCTGATGGGGCTGGAAGGATTACACTTAGTTCTCCTGGTATCCTTGAAACTCAAGCTGAAGTGGAGGCCTCTGTTACAGTTGAGAGATTTGCCCTTGTTCTCTCTAAAACTGGAAATGCAAAAAGAGAAGAGAAAGTGAGCAGTTATCTGTTTCTTTTCCCTTCTGGGCCTCAGTACCTCCCCCTCAGTTCCCCAACCCAAGCCTAACTGTACGTCAAAACAAATGAAGCTGCCAACATTATGATGCTAGGTGGTTCACACTGACCACCTCCTTTCACATGTTCACGTGGTAGGTCACAGAGCACTGGGGGAAAGGGAAGTGGTGATGCAATATCTAAGAGTCATGATAGGTATGGAGGACTAGCAAGTTGTTAGGGAAAAAAATCCAGACAGTGGAATAGAATTTGCATCAAAGTAGAGAGTGGCTCTTCTCAACTATAGTCACAGGAAGTACAAACCAGGTACTGTGCTTGTTAAAAAAAGGATAACAAAGCACTGTACAAATGAGATGCTTTTTAACTAAGTCATTTGAAAACCCACTAATTATGATAAATGCTTTAGGGACTTTCAGAACAACTTGCACATTTAAAGGGGGTACAAAAACTTGAAAATGAATAGACATCCCAGAAATTTCCCCAACAAAAACTCTGAAACCTGCATCTAGATTTTCCACTTCATAAGGATAAAGAAGGTAGGAAAGGGCATTGGGGTGCTTTCCACTGTGCCTGTCAGAGCAGAGCAGAAAGGTCACCTGCCTCCAATCTCCAATATCTGAAATTCCCTTGTGAAGAATTATGATGTGCATTTAGAAGACTGCAAGCACTCAGGATGAGGCTTCAGGTCTGAGCCAGGAGACTGGTGGGCAAAAGAAACGAGGGTAGCTGCTTTCCTGGCCCTCCTGGCACACCAGGCCCCCAGAACAGAAACAGCAGAGCAGGATCCCTATGATAGCTGCTGCAAACTAATGGTGGGGTGAGGGTGCCAACTAGGTTTCACTATTCTATGTGAGGAGGACTTGGGGTGAGGCAAAGAACTTGATAAGAAAACCAGAATGGCAGATGAAACACAAGAGAGAAGAGGAGATGCTAACTATAGAAACTTGATTATTGGCAGTTGAGAGATAGGCATTAGGGGAAAAAATATAGAAAAGAAAGTAGGCAGTATGGAGAGGAAGAAGGAAACCAGCCTTAGGAGGAGCAAAGTTCATTTCAGCCTGAGGCCTATGTCTAAAATAAATTCACACATTGTCTATGCTCAAGAGTTGTGGTTTGGGTGTCCTTTATTATATTGTTAGGGGGAATTCTTTTTAAATAACTGAACCACAAATGACCCAAAAGATTTAACTGTTTAGTATGAAAAATTAAACATATAAAAAGGTAAACAGGATATAATAATGATCTTGGACTATGATCCAACAATTGTCAAATCCTGGCCAATCATACTTCATCCAACCTCCACCTATTTCCCTCTTCTCATGTTAGTTCTTTTTTGTTTTCATTGTTGTTGCTAAATATATTTTCATATCACTTTAAAGCAGTTTCAGATATTGTATCATTCTGTTCATAAATATTATAGTATATACTCTAAAAGATAAGGATTCCTTCTATATTTAAAAAAATAACCAAAATATTATTATACTTTACAAATGATTTCTATTATCATCAAACATCAGGTATTTCTATATTAAAAACTTTTCCATTACTATAACCAAAAGTGTTTATGTATTTTAGAAGAATGAGGAAAATTTTTACTAATAGAAGGGACCAGGTGAGAAGGGTGTACTAGGAACCTTGGGAATGGCACAGACTCAGTAAGAGAGATTGTATTCTGTGGTACCATAGATAGATAGTGGATGACAAGCATCTTATAAGACTTTACACCCAGCTCTAGATAAACCGACAGTAATCACCACACATCAAAGAGCCAATATTTGAACTGCTCTCATTGAAAGCAGAGAATTAGGGGACCTGAGTAATGAGGAAAAGACTGTTTTGTGTCCTCCACCAATCTATTGTTCTAATATTTTGTGTGAACCATAATATATTTTTTAAATGGACATCATTAAAGAATGAGATTTACAAATACTAAAATGTTTGAAACACCATTAATTGCCTGTGCTCCCCTAAAGCAGCCTGGCCAGAGTAGGCAGAGTGACACTGCAACATGAAGGCTGCCCCAAATTCTTTGCAAGGACAGAAAACAGCCCAGAAACAAGGTGCCAGGCTTGCTTCAGAATCCAGCAGAATGGGTCTAATGACCAAGGCACACACACATTGGCCTAAGTTCATGGGACAGAAGAAGGTAGGTGGATATGAAAAGGTAATCAGGAGATTACAGTGATAATCAGGACATTTGCAGTGTGGAGAAATATGGCCAAAGAGAATGGGAAAAATAAAAACACAAAATCGAAAGAATGAGATTTAAAAGCAGAGATAGTGGCTGGAGATGTTCCTCAGTGGTAGAATGCATGTTTAGGGCACACCCGATTCTGGATTCAATCTCCAGCACCACCACCACCAAAAATATATATATAAAATGATAACAGTTCTCATATTTTTTCCCACACTCTAATAGGTCATCCTGAGCCCCTTATTTTGGAGATCACAGTGCTGATAAATGGGTGACAGGAAAGTCCCATTTAGCAGATTGGAAAAGAGCCTGGGATACATTTGCAAAGGATACTAGAGATTGGTGGTCTCAATTCTGCTGTATATTAAGAATCAGCCTGGGAGATTTTATGAAATGTGAACATCCACACACCCTCCCAAATGAAGCAAATCAGCAATTCGGGGTCTGTGCGTTGGCATTTTGTTAAAGTTCCCCATGTGATGCTAATATGTAGGCAGGAATGAAAAACCACTAATAGGAGTGTTCAAAAACTCAGTTGCTTAATGTAATAATATTAGTTCTAAACTAATATTAGTAGTAAAGTATTCTAATACTAAGAATGGGGGGAAATATTTCACTGTTTAATAACAAATGCAGAGAACTGAAAGGCAAGTAGAGAAATTTTAACGTAAAATCATACCTAATAAAAGTGAGAACTCTCAGTAAAAGATGGTTTTCATTTCCATACTTCAGGTTCTTACTACTTCTTAAACTGATTTAAAATGTTGACCGATCTTGCTTTTATTCAACCAAAAGCATGTATCCTATAAGATTATTAAAATTATCAAATTACTATTTCATATTGCAATCATGGTTATTTCATATGTCAAAATAATTCTGACTACTTTAGGTTTTTCTTTTAATCAAGTTTATCTTCCAATGGGGGGGTCTGGCTTAAAAAAATAAAAAGATATTTTCTACCTGTGAGAAACTGACTTCATCAAATTATCCTGGAGGGAAAAGTAAGTACAAAAAGGCAGCTGTAAAGCAAAATTTTACACAATGAATGACACACCAAATCCTGCAGGGAAATATGCACCACAATACATAATTTCCTGTGGCTTCCTGTCTGTGGAAGGAACACTGAAGAACAGTAAAAATTTTTCCAGAAATGATTTCCTTAGCTGTCTCATTGATGGATTTAGCATAGGTATTTGACAGTGGAATCACTGTCAAATCCAAATATGCATATTTATAAATGTTTACATATCTAATCACAAGTTCCTAAAAATAAAAATTAAAAGAAATTTGAACTAGATTCCATTTTATCACAAGCCTGGAATGCTGAAAATGCTGTGGCAAAGTCATCAATTCATTCATCTAAGTGAAAAGCCTATAAAATCACAGCCATCTTCAGCCATATCTTTAAATTTCACCATTTTGCCAATTCCACAAAAGTTATATTGGCACTATCTTTTGTAGTAGAACAAAAGGCAGTTATCTTCTAGAGGATACTTAAGATACAATGGGCAATCTATCTTTATTTTATGACATTTAAAGAGGGTGAAACAAACTTGTTCCATAAATAGCCTTTATAATAAATCCTGAGAAGTCACGAGGCCTGCATGGTGGTAGCACATACCTACTGCAGATGGCACTGTGCCTTAGCTTGGCCACAGGACGTATCTATTAAACTGGGGATAGGTTGTCACAATAGACTCATGGTTAGGATGGATACTTAGTATATTTCTATGGTTTTGCATAGTATTTTACATTTTTAGTGATTTATTATTACCTAGCATCCCTCCTTGATATATTTAATTCTGTAATTCGAGATTTTTAATCTCTTACCTGGATGACTCCTTAGTCTCTCCCCTCACTTCAGCCCTTCTGCATCAATAGCAGTGTTCTTTCAACAATGCATCTTGGAAGTCATCAACCTGTTACTTACCTATGGAACGCTCTATCTCTTGTTTCTTGTTTCTCACCTCTGCCTACCTTCTCACAGTCACTCCTTACCCCTAACCAAATGCAGCTTCATGCCATGCCCCTAACATACTGGTTGTTCTAATCTCTGTTCTTGTGTTATCCTTCATGAATACTTTTAATATATCTTTGCCTGCCAGGCAAATTCTCACAAGAATTTTGAGATCAAGACAAAACTTCGCCTCTTCTGTGGAAGCCCTTTGGAAAGTCCCAGACTTGGCCTCTCTAGCTTTTGTATTACTTTACCTTCTTTTGTACTTTTATTGTTATTCTTATCACCATTGTCTCTGCCCAAATCTGGGTTCTATCCCTCCACTACCACTCCTAAATAGAAAATGAGCCCTTCCGGGTAGCTGCTCTATGTCAGTCATCTTGGTTTCTCTTGAGTCCATCATATGCTAATGAAGGAACTGATACATTCAGTTGATGAATTAGTAAAAGGAGTTTTGTTCCTGTTTGAAGAAGAGAAAATGATGGCCCCGGGAAGCAGCTCAGTGGCACTGCACCTGCCTCAAAAGCACAAGGTCCTGAGTTCAATCTCTAATATCAAAAAAAAAGAAGAGAAAATGAAACACTACTAAACAGGAATTTAATGCTCTTTCATGTAGATCAAAGATAAGTAATCTATTTTTACTGTGAATCAATTATGGAAAATTAAAAATATTCACTTACTATATTTTTTAAAACACATAAAGTGAAAATTTTGTTGGACGTAGTGGTGCCTGCCTATAATCCCAGAACTTGGGAGGCTGAGGCACGAGGATCTCTGTGAGTTTGAGACCACCCTGGGCTACATAGTGAGTTCAAGGCCAGTCTGAACTACATAGTGAGACCCTGTCTCAAAAAAACCAAAAATAAATAAATAAATAAAATAAAGTGAAAATTTCTTTATGAGATGAAAGAATTTTAATGTGACAATAGGTACTTTCTCTTGTAGGCACTAAACTGTTAACGCTGAAGCAGATTTGAAAAGTAGCAACATAGAGATGGTTTTCTGATTTTTTTATCCTGAAATTCATTTCAGGCAATATCACAAAAGCTGGGAAGTGGACAATTGGTTCTTAGAACATGAATTATGGAGGACCACAGGACCACATGGTCTTTCTGCAACAGCTGGCTTGACTGTCCACTCTCTGCAAGGATCTCATCAGCTTTTACCTAAGTAACTTCTTTCCTCCTCTTTCTTCATCCTTGTGAGTCACATGCAAGAGTTAATACTTGGCAAAGCAAAAAATAAAAGGAAGGAAAAAGAAAAAAATAAAAGTTTCTCTTGAGCAGCGCCATGCAAATACCACTCTAAGCGAAATGCCTGTATGTATGAACAGTTGTTTACAAACTATGAATCACGGGTCTTGAGGGGTTATGTAGTAATTTGGGTGTCAGGTTGAATGGGGTATGTTTTGACTATTCCATTATCTACAGCATTTGAGCATTTCTGAAGTCTTCTCATAGTACTAGGCCAAGTGTAACATATAAACGCTCAAGCTGTGTCTATAGGACTCAAAAAAGCTATATAATTTGACAAAACCAACTATTTTTAAAGCATAACCATCTCTGGATAGGAGAACTGGTTGTTTTGCATCATATAAAAGATAAGATAAGTCATTATTTAAATTCTCTTCATGATTGTAATGGAGTTGAATAGACATCCTCATCATTATATGATCCAAACAATTCCTACTCTGAACCTGAGAGATTTTCACCTAACACATTCCCATCTCAGATAGGCAGGAACTGATACATTTTGAACATCTCCTGAGTGCTTTATAACCATAATTTAATTTATCACTCAGCATTGCTATGAGATGGATATCACATAGCCTCATCTTACACATGAGGAAGCCAAGATTCAGAGAAGTTAGGTAACTTCTCTGAGGTCACATAAATAGCAAATGATTGAGCTGTGAGTCTACAAATGCAGTGCTCTTTCCCTCCCACCACACCTCTGCCAGAGGCCCACGGAGTCATGAGGAACTCCACTGAGCCAGGGTAATGCATACAAGCCTCACTCCATAAGTGTACATAAGCCATGCCAGGATGCTGAGTGTGCATTGTTAGTCCCACACAGCTCCAAGAAAGGAAATGTCTCATCTGCTTAGAAATTCCTATAGAACAATCCTTACTAGAATACAGTATCAAAGCAAAATTCTGACTTCACAATACAGCAAGCAGTTGTCATCACCATGAGAAAAAGCAGATCTCCCCACATTTGCATATTATAGGTCACCCCTTAACTATATTTTTATGTAGCTAAATAATTTGATTTCTTTGTTCATTTCAAACAAAGCTGTGCATGCACATACTTTAAAGAATTCAGTTTACATGAATTTTTGTGAAAAATAGCAGTTTCCTCATTTTTTCACACACCAAAGGCAACCACGTTCAAGTTTTAGCAATTGTTTTGCTCATTTGTTTGGTTGGATGGTTGGTACTTTTGATGTTTGTTTCCATAACTCTTTCATGCTATTTTTGCTTATGGTGCTAACTTGACGTTTCTAGTACAGGCATTTTCCATGAATTCTCACTATGGAATGAAAGTTCATAGCTTTCTTTTACCACTCTCTCCTTCCCCATATGCCGCACACTTACTCTTTGCATTTCTTCATCTACTCAATACCACTATATCAAAAGTTTGGTTAGATTAATATTTAGTATTATATTATTGTAAGCATGAAAATGTTACTTATAGCTAAATTTTGTTTTACGAGTACTATAATTCTTTTCCTTTTGGCTTAAACATATTTTCCTGGAGTCAGTTTTTATGTATTTTGCTAAAATTTAACCCTAAACTCTCCGTCAATTGTTTAAGCTTTTTCTTAAAATATTCAAACACATCATAAATTCTTTCATTTTCATCTTCTTGAAAAAAAATCTTTCCCTATACTTTGTAATATGCATCAACTAGACAGATGGTCTTGGTCACTTCCCTGTGACCAAGGCCATCACTTGTCACACTTGTCACACAGGCACTTCCTTCCTTATGTGCTAGAAATGCCCTTTGCCTGACTTTTGTATCCACTGTCTTCTTCTATATCACTTCATCCTCTCATTTTGGTGGGGCACATCCTCAAGTAGCTTCCAAGACTGAATGTGTAAAGGTAAAACTTTTTGAGAACTTACATGACTGAAATTCAACTTATCATCTATTTCCAAATTATTCTCTAAATCATCTGAGTCTCACACAACTTCTTACAACTCTCTTAAACCTGTAGGCCCAAGACCCATCAGTAGTCTAGGAATAGTCTGAATAATGTAATAAAAGAATCAGCTTACCAGTCCTGAATTTGGTAATTTGCTACTATAAATTCCTTCCTGCCACAGTTGCATACTATAGTCTTCATGTATTTGTGTTGCTTCCTGTATGTGCTCCTCTTTAAAGTTACCGACTCAATTTTTTCAAGGTCATTTTGAATTTCATTCTTATATTCTAAAGTGCTAATTACTCTGTCTTAACAGCCATACTGAGCATCACAAATACCACCCAAATTACTCATAAAGCACAATTGCACTTCAAAACTCTCAGACTTGCTGCCTTCACTTCTAATGGCCAATTCAAAATTATTCCAAATCATTAGACATGGGGAAGGGTTGATACAAATAACATAATTGTTAGCCAGGGATTTAGCTCAGTGGTCCTGCGCCTGCCTGGCAAATGCAAGGTCCTGAGTTTGATCTCCAGTACCAAAAAAAAAATTGTTTCTTCTTAAAGAAAAAAAAAATCAGAATGTAACATGTATATGTACCAATGCTTCACAATGACTATATTATATATTGTAAACATATAGTAATAAAATATTTTTAAAATAACAAGGAAAAATGGTTTTTTGGTTGAGTTTCA